TGATTTCACAAACACCAACATTATTAATAATAATGTTTAATAATGTTTAATAATGTTGATTTCATTCACAAACATTAATAATAATGTTTTAATAATGTTGATTTCATATACACAAACAATAATATAATAATGTTTAATAATGTTTAATAATGTTGATTTCACAAACACAAACATTAATATAATAATGTTTAGTAATGTTTAATAATGTTTAATAATGTTGATTTCACAAACATTAATAATAATAATGTTTAATAATGTTTAATAATGTTGATTTCACAAACACAAACATTAATAATAATAATGTTTGATAATGTTTAATAATGTTGATTTCATAAACACAAACATTAATAATAATAATGTTTATAATGTTGATTTCACAAACACAAACAGTAATAATAATAATCTTTAATAATGTGATTTCACAAACACAAACAGTAATAATAATAATCTTTAATAATGTTGATTTCACAAACACAAACAGTAATAATAATAATGTTCAATAATATTTAATAATGTTTAATAATGTTGATTTCACAAACACAACATTAATAATAATAATGTTTAATAATGTTGATTTCATAAACACAAACATTAATAATAATAATTTTAATAATGTTGATTTCACAAACACAAACAGTAATACTAATAATCTTTAATAATATTGATTTCACAACACAAACAGTATATAATAATAATGTTCAATAATATTTAATAATGTTTAATAATGTTGATTTCACAAACACAAACATTAATAATAATAATGTTTAATAATGTTGATTTCACAAACACAAACATTAATAATGTTTAATAATGTTGATTTCATAAACACAAACATTAATAATAATAATGTTGAATAATGTTTAATAATATTGATTTCATAAACACAAACAGTAATAATAATAATGTTTAATAATGTTTTCAAAAACTCAAATGTTTTAACCTGCACTCCGACAGGTGGAGAAGTCTCGCTCGTCCACAGCGGGTGGTGGTATAGAGAGATAGGCGTTCTGAGGAGTTACACCATGGAGAGCACCTACAACGGCTGTGATCAGGGCATACACAAGGTGTGTGTGTGTGTGTGTGTGTGTGTGTGTGTGTGTGTGTGTGGCGTACATCTGCCTGCATGTGTGTGGTCATGGGATCTTTGAAATACTCTTTTTGTGGTCTTATAGTTAAAAAGGTGAATTACGTTCCACTCAGAGCCCCCTGCATGTCTGCACAACATGTATCTGCAGTGTGTGTGTCTCTGCAGTGGTGTTGTGTGTATCTGCAGTGTGTGTGTCTCTGCAGTGTGTGTGTGTGTATCTGCAGTGTGTGTGTATTTGCAGTGTGTGTGTATCTGCAGTGTGTGTGTGTGTGTGTGTGTGTATCTGCAGTGTGTGTGTGCATGTATCTGCAGTGTGTGTGTATCTGCAGTGTGTGTGTGTATCTGCAGTGTGTGTATATCTGCAATGTGTGTGTGTATCTGCAGTGTGTGTGTATCTGCAGTGTGTGTGTATCTGAAGTGTGTGTGTGTGTATCTGCAGTGTGTGTGTGTGTCTGCAGTGTGTGGTGTATCTCTAGTGTGTGTATCTGCAGTGTGTGTGTCTGCAGTGTGTGTGTATCTGCAGTGTGTGTGTGTATCTGCAGTGTGTGTGTATCTGCAGTGTGTGTGTGTATCTGCAGTGTGTGTGGATCTGCTGTGTGCGTGTATCTGCAGTGTGTGTGTGTCTCTGCAGTGTGGTGTGTGTGGTGTGTGTGTGTATCTGCAGTGTGTGTGTGTGTATCTGCAGTGTGTTGTATCTGCAGTGTGTGTATCTGCAGTGTGTGTATCTGCAGTGTATGTGTGTATCTGCAGTGTGTGTGTGTGTGTGTGTGTGTGTGTGTGTGTCTGCAGTGTGTGTGTGTATCTGCAGTGTGTGTGTGTGTCTGCAGTGTGTGGGTATCTGCAGTGTGTGTGTATATGCAGTGTGTGTGTATCTGCAGTGTGTGTGTATCTGCAGTGTGTGTGTGTATCTGCAGTGTGCGTGTATCTGCAGTGTGTGTGTATCTGCAGTGTGTGTGTGTATCTGCAGTGTGTGTGTATCTGCAGGTGTGTGTATCTGCAGTGTGTGTGTGTGTGTATGAAAACACCTTGCAAACAACACAGGCTACTCTTCAGATCTGGACGACCCCCAATTGTTACGGCTAGAACCTGTGAAGTGTTGAAAACAAAACAAACGTTACTTCAGATTCAGTCTCTCAGTGTCCGTCTAAAAATCGCTAGAAAACACGACGTGGCACAAAAAAGAGCGTGCAGCAGGCGCGCTACATCAGAAAAAATGGTTTTGGTGGTGATCACGCTCTGATCGGTGTGATCAGGGCGTTAACCTTCATTTTGTCATTAGAGACCGTTAAGCAGCCTAAAACCTCCTGTTGACCCCCTGACAGCAGAGTCTATATTTAACTGCACCGCCGTGTGTGTTGTGTGTGTGTGTGTGTGTGTGTGTGTGTGTGTGTGTGTGTGTGTGTGTGTGTAGGGGCTGCAGACAGGGAGCAGGGAGCTGCAGGAGATGGGGATGAAGTTCTGTCAGAGTCTGCTGTCCGTCACTAAAGACTCTCGAGCTCTTACAACAAGAAACTGATCCATCACATCGACCTGGACGACAACGTCCTCGACCACAAGTCGCACAAGTAAGAACCACCGCACAAGTACAGCACCGCGGAGGGGGGGGACATGGTATGTCCGAGGTGTGATGTCACAGATGAAGGCTGTTGCCTTCAGGTGCAACGTGTCTGTTGAAGTCCTCTAGTCCTCTAGTCCACTAGTCTGGGGTGAGCCGGTGGACATGTTGCTGCAGGAGCTGGGTATCGATGGGGTTGAAAACGGGGTCTCCCATGTTACAGTTTATAGTGTTCTCTCTCTCTCTCTCTCTCTCTCTCTCTCTCTCTCTCTCTCTCTCTCTCTCTCTCTCTCTCTCTCTCTCTCTCTCTCTCTCTCTCTCTCTCTCTCTCTTCTCTCTCCTCTCTCTCTCTCTCTCTCTCCTATAAAGCTGCTTCGAGGACGACGAGCCCCCGTGTGTGGAGGAGATCGAGTTCTCCGCAGACTGTCCGCCTCTACACGGCGATGATCTGGATTCAGATGTTGACAGAAACATGGCGGGCGCTGAGGAAGACGAGGAGGATGAAGACTTCCTGTTCCCCAGTCGGACCTGACAGTCATCCACGTGTAACGGCACCGCCAGCGGTCAGATCCTCAGCTAAACCACCAAGACCAAGAACCCTGACCCTAACCTTAACAGGTCCTCAGACTGGGACCTGGTCCTGACCTTAACCCTAACAGGTCCTCAGCTAAACCACCAAGATCCAAAAGTCTCCATAAGGACTGAAAGGACCCGAACCCTAACAGGTCCTCAGCTAAACCACCAAGATCCAAAAGTCTACATAAGGACTGAAAGGACCCGAACCCTAACAGGTCCTCAGACTGGGACCTGGTCCTGACCCTAGCTAACAGGTCATCAGACTGGGACCTGGTCCTGACCCTAGCTAACAGGTCATCAGACTGGGACCTGGTCCTGATCCTGGTCTTCCTGGTCCTGAACGCTCTCACGCTGTGGACTGATGCTTTAATTTCCTCTTTTCTGTGTTTGCTGTGAGAATAAAAGTGATTTATTTTGTGTTTATCTCTCGTCTCCTCCTCAGAGTCTTTCAGGTGAAGTTGCTTGAACCACATTGAGGATTATTGTAGACCCTTCATCATAGTGACCCCATGTATCTGGGGACCTCAGCTCTTAAACTATTCATGAATGTGCCTGTAAACCTGGACTCCTCAGTATCCTGTAACCCCCTCAGACCATCTGATCAATATATCCAACACAGGCTGGAGTTTAGAACACCATGCTCTTTGTTCAGAGTCAAAAAGGTAATGCAAAGCGTCATCATTAAGTCCCCCCCCCCAAGACATGTTTGATGCCAGGTCTAATTTTTGTATGCCCTGTTAATTGTTAATTGTCACATTCCTTGCATTTGTAAAGGTACTTGGTAAAAAACCCAGATTGTGATTGTGATTCCATCACTGCTGACGGTTATATGACCTGATGTTGCAGTGGTAGATCTCACCACTAGAGGTCCCTATAGTTACTGAAGGCTTCAGTCCTCCCCTTATCAGGACGCTTTGTACAAAGATTAGAGTTTGTGTTTGTGGATGAACGTCAGTGAACAGAAGTTATTTTAGACGTCTGTTCAGAGACCATCAGAGAGGAAACAAACACTGCTCTCTGATTGGTCACACCAAGTTTAAATCTCAATATGGTAACACAGTGTCATCATCAACATTTCATAGTTTGGACATTACGCTCTACAGTTCAGATGAACCTTGAGTTACAGACGAGTTCACACATCAGGTTAAACACATTGAACAAAGGAAGCTGTTTCAGGCGTCTCCTCCTCCTGGTCCCTCCATGAGGGTGAACAGATGGTTAGACTCTCCAAGCTGCACACACAGTGCATGAAAGTCTTTGATGAGGTATCATGACTCTGAGTTTGAAACAGCGTCACATCATGTGTGTGTTTCAGCTCTATGTGTATCAGCTCTATGTGTTTCAGCTCTGTGTGTATCAGCTCTGTGTGTATCAGCTCTGTGTGTATCAGCTCTATGTGTATCAGCACTGTGTGTTTCAGCTCTGTGTGTCTCGGCTCTGTGTGTCTCGGCTCTGTGTGTATCGGCTCTGTGTGTCTCGGCTCTGTGTGTCACGGCTCTGTGTGTATCAGCTCTGTGTGTATCAGCTCTGTGTGTTACAGCTCTGTGTGTATCAGCTCTATGTGTTACAGCTCTGTGTGTTTCAGCTCTGTGTGTATCAGCTCTATGTGTTACAGCTCTGTGTGTTTCAGCTCTGTGTGTTTCAGCTCTATGTGTTACAGCTCTGTGTGTATCAGCTCTGTGTGTTACAGCTCTGTGTGTATCAGCTCTATGTGTTACAGCTCTGTGTGTTTCAGCTCTGTGTGTATCAGCTCTATGTGTTACAGCTCTGTGTGTATCAGCTCTATGTGTTACAGCTCTGTGTGTTTCAGCTCTGTGTGTTTCAGCTCTATGTGTTACAGCTCTGTGTGTATCAGCTCTGTGTGTTTCAGCTCTGTGTGTATCAGCACTATGTGTTTCAGCTCTGTGTGTATCAGCTCTATGTGTTACAGCTCTGTGTGTATCAGCTCTATGTGTTACAGCTCTGTGTGTTTCAGCTCTGTGTGTTTCAGCTCTATGTGTTACAGCTCTGTGTGTATCAGCTCTGTGTGTTTCAGCTCTGTGTGTATCAGCACTATGTGTTTCAGCTCTGTGTGTATCAGCTCTGTGTGTTTCAGCTCTGTGTGTATCAGCTCTATGTGTTACAGCTCTGTGTGTTTCAGTTCTATGTGTTACAGCTCTGTGTGTCTCGGCTCTGTGTGTCACGGCTCTGTGTGTCTCAGCTCTGTGTGTCTGAGCTCTGTGTGTTTCAGCTCTGTGTGTTTCAGCTCTATGTGTTACAGCTCTGTGTGTATCAGCTCTGTGTGTTTCAGCTCTGTGTGTATCAGCACTATGTGTTACAGCTCTGTGTGTATCAGCTCTATGTGTTACAGCTCTGTGTGTTTCAGCTCTGTGTGTTTCAGCTCTATGTGTTACAGCTCTGTGTGTATCAGCTCTGTGTGTTTCAGCTCTGTGTGTATCAGCACTATGTGTTTCAGCTCTGTGTGTTTCAGCTCTGTGTGTATCAGCTCTATGTGTTACAGCTCTGTGTGTTTCAGTTCTATGTGTTACAGCTCTGTGTGTCTCGGCTCTGTGTGTCACGGCTCTGTGTGTCTCAGCTCTGTGTGTCTGAGCTCTATGTGTTACAGCTCTGTGTGTTTCGGTTCTGTGTGTCAGTTAATTACTGTGGTCAGGAGGGAGCGTCATCGATCGACTCTCTAATTGGTCTTTAACTGTCCGATCCCAAAGGCCCATTAAACACAGATTCTGTTTCATGTTGTGAGTTTGTTAATGTATCAAAGAGTGCGAACAAATAAACCGCAGGACCCACAATGCACTGCAAGCTGAGATGGACTGAGAGCTACTTCACATGATGCAGGGTAATGTCCTCCTCTCTCATGGTACAAAGAGGAGACCTCCTCCACTAGTCTCCTTTTGGGTTAGAACTCCACATTCCTGCCCACCCTGTTTACTGGTTTTGCAGCTTTCTGTTTGGGGCTGGTGGGACGGTTACTGAAGGCTTCAGTCCTCCCCTTATCAGGACGCTTTGTACAAAGATTAGAGTTTGTGTTTGTGGATGAACGTCAGTGAACAGAAGTTATTTTAGACGTCTGTTCAGAGACCATCAGAGAGGAAACAAACACTGCTCTCTGATTGGTCACACCAAGTTTAAATCTCAATATGGTAACACAGTGTCATCATCAACATTTCATAGTTTGGACATTACGCTCTACAGTTCAGATGAACCTTGAGTTACAGACGAGTTCACACATCAGGTTTAAACACATTGAACAAAGGAAGCTGTTTCAGGGCGTCTCCTCCTCCTGGTCCCTCCATGAGGGTGAACAGATGGTTAGACTCTCCAAGCTGCACACACAGTGCATGAAAGTCTTTGATGAGGTATCATGACTCTGAGTTTGAAACAGCGTCACATCATGTGTGTGTTTCAGCTCTATGTGTATCAGCTCTATGTGTTTCAGCTCTGTGTGTATCAGCTCTATGTGTTACAGCTCTGTGTGTATCAGCTCTATGTGTTACAGCTCTGTGTGTTTCAGCTCTGTGTGTATCAGCTCTGTGTGTTTCAGCTCTGTGTGTATCAGCACTATGTGTTTCAGCTCTGTGTGTATCAGCTCTGTGTGTTTCAGCCAAGGGGCAACCTCCGGTCTCGAAAAATGAAGCCTATGCGGAAGTACAAAAAACTGCAGTTCCTCGAGGTTCCGCTTGAGGCTGGCTGCAGAAGCGCCGGAAGTGCCATAAGCCCACAGCCAAAAAAGCCCGTTTTTACCACAGGAATCAACATGTTTACAGCCTGGTTCAAAAAACGAGATGTATCTGAGAAGTTGACGGCCCCTTCTCCTCACACTGTGGGGGGGGTGAATTTTTTTATAACTCATCGGATTTTATTCTATTAAGGAAAACGACTATGCCCATATTTGGTTGTGTCAGATTTGATTGACAGCTCTGCGCGCTGCATCTGTCTGTCAGGTCAGCAGGTCAGGAGGCTAACAGCTTGATCCGTCTGATTTCTCCTCTTTTTTACTTTGTTTGGAGAGTTTGTTTAACACATATCTGACAACATACATGGCTTGCTGTGCGGTTAACAGACCATCCAACAAGTTGATGCTTCAGTTTTTTTCGGTAGGTGATATAGTAGTGTTATATTTACTGCTTACTCATGTGTTTATATTTACGGACCTAGCTTGTTTAGCGTTAGCTTGTAAACCAGTCGGCTAACTGTGTAGCTCATTATTTACATTATTTACAGTCAATGGTTTAGAAATGTTTGTTGTTAAGATGTTGTTGTTGAAAATAATGAGTTTGTGTGATGTTAGAAGCTAAAGGTTCATCTCGGTGGTTAACCACAGACTGTAAATATGTTTATCTGATGTTATGATGAATGTTATACTCCACGTAAATGTGGACATTAAAAAAATAAACTTTGTGTAGTAATTATCCGTCAGTAACATAAACTGAACTGAACCTAATGTGCTGTGTAGGTTATAGAGGATGACATTAACGTTACATGGTTGATGTAGTGTCTTAAGATTTGAGCAAACTATTAACAAATAAAAAAAACTTCACTTTGTAAGAGCATCTGTAACCATTAAGAACTATATTAATAACCATATTAATTTTCACTGAACTCATACACAGAATATAGATGTAGAAATATAAATAACATGTGGAATGAAAATAAGATATAAAGCACATAGATATAAAGTATAAGCAATAGTTTGAAGAATACAGCCATGTACTGAGCTCATGTTAATAATAAATGAGTTACTGTATGTTCTGTACTAAAGCACAGAGAGTTGGGACCTGTTAATGATTTAAATAATTCAGATTATATTTGTTTCATGTTAAGATGAAGTACTATCCACAATAAACTGCTTAATTTTTCCTCACAAAATCTGAGACAATTTGATGTGGAATATCATTGTGTGAGTGAGAGAGCTGAAAACAGCATGATTACAATAATGTTTATCTTCTTAACTTTAAATAGATGTTGATTACCTGAATACCTTTGTTGTCTGGGTAGTACACTGTTGAATTTATAAATGTACTCTTACACACAGATGAATACAGAAAAATAGATGAGAACAAAAAAATGATTTAATGAATAACTGATTTTTTCTCTCTTTCTTTGCCATCCGGAAGACCCCTCACTAAAAGTCCATGTTCTCCTGGATCCATGTCACATGCTCGAGCTTCTTCTGAATGACTTTTCAACAGTTGAAGTTCTGCTGAGAGAAGATGGCCAGCAGATAAGACAGCAGTACATGAAGGAGCTCCACAGCTTCAGGAGGAGGAGGAGGGTTTGCACCTTGGAAGACTGTATTCATGCTGTTCAAATAAAACTAGATCTCCTCCAAACAACTTGCAATCAAACTATTTTCTTCCCATTTTAAAACCCTTTGTCCAGTTTAGATGGGAGAAGTTGATATTATGTGATATTGATCAGGGAAG